AAAGTTACCTTCACCCTTTGTGGAATAGGACAAACATGTGGACGTTTTCTGACAGAATAAACCTAGAGGGTAAGTAACGTGGAAAACAATTTTTTTCCACGTTTTCTGAAAGAAGACAATAACGTAGTAAACGAAGTGAGAGAAACTTGACGTTCTGTGACGTATAGTGGAAGAAACAGAAGACAATAGCGTAGTAAACGAAGTGAGAGAAACTTGACGTTCTGTGACGTATAGTGGAAGAAACAGAAGACAATAGCGTAGTAAACGAAGTGAGAGAAACTTGACGTTCTGTGACGTATAGTGGAAGAAACAGAAGACAATAGCGTAGTAAACGAAGTGAGAGAAACTTGACGTTCTGTGACGTATAGTGGAAGAAACAGCTTTTTTTCTGGGATGTTCACTTCCACGCTCAGTCTCTTATTGTTTATATTTGTATCAACTCCTCTTATATCGTGTCATATATAACATACAGAGTGACACCAAGAACACGGGTTGCGTTTAGAGGACATGCAAGTCTCTAGCATTTCTCCAGAATCTAAAATTCACTTTAAAACTTATACATTAACGAATAAATTATTATATCTGTCTTGAAATGGAAAATATTATCCCTTGGAGAGAAGTTTTGAGAACCATATATTTACCGGTTGTGTATGTAATGCTTGTTTCTCGAAAACTACACAGAAAGAAGGCAAAAAGCATATATGTTATTATATATTATATATGTTATATACGTTATTATTTCTTATATATGTTATATATGTTATTATATATTACATATGTTATATACGTTATTATATATTATATATGTTATATATGTTATTATATATTATATATGTTATATACGTTATTATATATTATATATGTTATATACGTTATTATATATTATATATGTTATATACGTTATTATATATTATATATGTTATATACGTTATTATATATATTATATATGTTATATACGTTATTATATATTATATATGTTATATATGTTATTATATATTATATATGTTATTAGCGTTTCATTTGCCGCTAGGGGGAAAAACAACAACATCTGGGTGAAACGCGTTTTTATCTCCCACGGGGAAGGTTAGAACAAGGTCATAGGAAGGGCAAAGGTCACAGAAGTGTTGCTACCGTGACAATATAAATATACATATAACAACATTGTGCTATTAAATTAACTTTTCTTAGGTATTTATATTTCACCGTGTTCTTTTTATAATGGATGTTTTTGTTTTTTTAATTCAACATTTCTCTGACCTTTAATTTACCTCTGTTGTGTTTAATGTCTTCTCCCAACTTGGTGTTCAAGATTTAAAACATTTGTCTTTCTTCGGATGTTGTAACAAGTTGTTATTCTTGTCTTGTTTTAGTGCAAAGTTATGTGCGCTCGATCCACTGTGGGGAATCGAACCCCCGGATTTTAGCGTAATAAGTCCTTGAACTTATCTCTGACACAAGGGGGTCTGTGAAATAGTGTCCCTTTCGACGACCCCACTAAAGTGTACTACTTACGGCATTGTTTTCTGTGCAAGATCTGGTAGACACTTAAAAGATTTAAAAGATAAGTTTGAAACTTAAAACCTGAAACTCTTTTCTTTGGGAGTATAAACGGATAAAAAGGAATGCATTCAAAAAGTTGAAAACTGCTGTCTTTATATAAATATAATGTTTTTTTTTCTGGAATTATGATGGTGCCCACTTAATTAGATAATTATTAATTAATTAGATAAAACGTGAGTTTTTATGAATTCATCCCTGTTTTGCAGGTCGCTTGATTGTTAAACAAAGCTACATTTAGTTAGACGTTTGCCCCCCAGTGGCACAGCTGTACGTCTATGGACTTACAACGCTAGAAACCGGCTTTCGATACCCGTGGTGGGCATAGCACAGATAGCCCATTGTGTAGCTTTGTGCTTAACTTCAAACAAACAAACAATTCAGACGTTTCAATTTAAAACAATTACTCTTAGCTTAAAGCTCAGAATTAAGAATTAATTAAGATTAATGATTTTAAAGTAGCGGCGTGTCGTATCAGATGCGAACTCTTTTAACTGCGTGTATATTTGGTTCATGGCAAAATTTCAGCTTTTCAGTGTTGCCGCGGGAAGATTTATGGACTATGAGAGGAAAAAGCGTGTTCGAAGAAATATATCCATAAACTAAGACAACAAAGAGCGAAATGATACAATATTAAAGAGAAGGGAATTTTAAGTGTTCTTTATATGGGCCAGGCTTTCATAAGTGTCCGTTTTTTAACTGGAAAATATTGAAACAAAATCTTCTCCTGTATGTATGATTTATACAGTTCCAGAAAATATAACTACTAAAAAACCTAGTGTCAAAAATCTAACACTCGGGCTACATTCTGTCATATTTTTAAAAATCTAACACTCGGACAACATTCTGTCATATTTTTAAAAATCTAACACTCGGGCAACATTCTGTCATATTTTTAAAAATCTAACACTCGGGCAACATTCTGTCATATTTTTCCACCTTGATGACGATGACGAATGTTTTACACATGTGTTCTCCTTTACCAGATTATTTTGTAACAGAATAAAAAGACAAAAATCAAGCAAATTGTAAGGATGTTTTCTTTTCTGCTGGCTTTTTATTTCTGTAATAATATTTCAGCTGTCGACTTTGTTTACCATCCATTCTAAAAATACATATATGAAACCCCATCACCGAAATGCATACCACCTGGGTATGTTAGCAAAGTCAGGTATAGAAATTAATGTGATCTCCTTTACATTTAGTTATTTTGTATTAGACTACTTCCA